GCTCGGCTTGATTCGGCTCAGCTCGGCCCGGTCCGGCTGGGCTCGGCACAGCGGCTGGGACTCCTGGGTCTTCGCCTTTCCCACTTGGATCTGCAGGCCAAGCACTATGAACTCCTGCTGCCGCGCTGCAGGAGTCTCATCCAGCTTTGGCTCGGGTACAGGGCTGGAAAGGGCAGCAGGGGTTAGGGGGCGACCTCCAGTCCCACAGGTTTTCACCTCCTTCACCCCAGCTTGTCTATGGTCGCCCCCAGGAGTTCTGAGATTCTGAATCACCCACCACTTTTGGTTTGTTGGGAAAGGGTCTCACTATGTAGTGAAGATAGATTTTGAACTCACAGCAGTCCTTTTGCCTCAGTCTCCCGAGGGCTGGAATTACAGGCATGTGCCACCACTGCCAACTGGCCTGGGCGTCAGTCAACCAACATACCTTGATTCCCCAACTTGATTTTGCTCTCTTGGGTGAAAGGTGAGAAGAAAACCCCACACCATAATTGGAATAGCCCAACAGCTTGATCCATTCTCCCCGAAGCAACCCAGATGACCTTTAAAATAGAGCAGCCCCCCAGGACTGGCAGCTGCAGGTGGCTTTTCTAGTACTCACAATATTGCAACTTCTTACAATACTGAGAGGACCCTAAAAGAGGTAGTCCCTAGATACATCCCTGGTTTCCTTTCCTAAAAGTTTCTATGTTCGAGGCACAGTAGACCTGTGCTACTTCCTAGAAGAGCCAAGCCTGCCTCAGGCCTTTGTACTTGCTGTCCCCTTTCTGTAATGATTTCCCCTGGCTTCACACCCTATGCTCCAGTCTCCCTTGAGAAAGGTAAGCCTTTCTCAATGTCAAAAGTAGAATCCTCTGCTCCTCCTCCTGCCCTATCCTCTCTCACATTACCCTGCTTTTCATTATTGCCCTGTAGGGTGCACAATCCTAGCTACTCTCCAGCCTTGCTGTCTTTCCTAGTCTCTCTGAGCTCTGACCTATAAATGCTGGCGCCTCCTAGAGCTTAGTCCTTGGCCTTCTCTTTCCACATTCTCTATCCAGTGATCTCATCCGGTCCCAGGGCTTAAATACTCTGTAAATGTCAATGAGACCTAAATTTATAGCCAGAGCGCCAGACTCATTTATCCAGCAGCCTGCTTGACATCTCCACTTGGATGTCTAATGGCCATGCAAAGCCTGTGTGACTAAAATGGATGCCTTGAACCCTGCCACCCCAACCCATTGCTCTCCCCTTGTCCCCTTCCTGGGACATGACAGCACCTCCTTGTGAACAAGGTGGAGAATGGATCATTTCACTGGCTCCCCTTCCATGTCAAATTAACCAGCAGCTCCTGTGGGGTCTGCATTGGACATCCATCCCAACTCCATCCCCTTCCCTTATTCCCCTTGCTACAATGGGATCTAAGCCTTTGCCTTTTTTTTTTTTTTAAGTGATAGCTTTGACCCTTGTCTGCCCCCCTTTCTGCACCTGATCCCAGGGAGCAAAGCCTGCCCTCCTAGTAGAAGGCACATATACCCCACCACTAGGTCACAGGGCCTACTGATATGTCCCATCCTCAGCCATCTTCGTCTCCATATTCTCATTCTCCCTTGCATCACTGCACCCAAGCCTGTCCTGCTAAGCTCCCTAACCTTGACCCAGCTCAATCCTGAACTCTACTTGACCCAGCTCAATCCTGAACTCTACTCTCCTTTGGAGTCACTCCAGGAGGTCCTGCCCTGGAACCCCCAAACTGAGACTGGTTGTGTTCTTTATCTAACAAAAAGCCCACCAATTTATACTCCTCTTGGTACACAGCACTCCTGTTAAATCAGACTTGTTGCTATCCTAGAACATCAGAAACCCTTCTCTTAGTATTCCTGCAATTTGATTCCCTCTCCCTGGAATGCTTTGCCACCCTTCCCTCCCATCCTGTCTACCTTTTTATTTTTTTCATGGAGGTTAAGATTAAGAAAAAAAAAATTCTTTTAAATGAATTTAGAACAGGGTTTACAGGGTGTATAGGGTCTCACTACATAGATCAGACTCGTAGTGATTCTCTTGCTTTCAGCCTCTTAGGTGCTGGGATTATAGGTGCCCAGTCTCCATCCCCATCTCAGCAAGTCCCGGGGGCAGGGCTAGCACAGCATGCCAGGGATCGAACCCCAGTGACTGTTCTGCCTAAGCAGGTGCTTTATTCTGGGGCGTGCTGAGACCTTGATTGAGCCTGGGCGTGGTCGCCCAGAGCCTGTAATTCCAGTGCTTGGGAGGCTGAAAACAGGAGGATCACTACGAGTCTGATCCGTGTAGTGAAACCCTGTAAACCCTTTATACCCTGTACTAAATATATAAAAAAAGAAAAAAGAAAGAAAATTTATTGGAACAAAGGAATGGGGAATAGGAATAGCTCCTGAGAGACAGGAGGGAGTTGCCCAATGAGTTGCCCCCTACCTACCTACCGATCCTTCACATCTCTACTCAGAATCTAAAGTACCCCTACCCTCCTTTTTTCCTCCTTTTTTGAGACAGGGTCTCCCTAAATTGTTCAGGCTGGGCTTGAAATCACTATTGTAGCCCAGGCTGGCCTTAAACTTGCAGCAATCCTCCTGCACCAGCTTAACCAAGTGCTGGCCTGACCCCACCCTCTTCCTCAAGTTTTGTTGTCTTTTGGACTTGTCATTTTCTGGAATGATCTGCCTGCTGTTCATTGTCTGCCTCTCTTACATGGGAGAGCAAAACTGTCGTTTGTCTTGCTCAGGCTAGGTGCTAACTCTATTGCAGTACCTTGGTTCATAGGAGATGCTTGCTGTCCATTGCTTAGGGAACTTCTTCCTGGACTCCTACCTCCTCTGAGCCCTTTATCCTGTTCTCTGTCCTGCCCTGCTTTTCCTCTTTCTGCCTACTCACCCTTA